GGATCTCTTGCAATATAGGTGATACCTATTCTAAATCAATTGATTAATTATACTTTTTATTAATAGTCTCACCTATAAGTAATAATAATCCCTCGTGATATTGGTGATCTAGGATTAGTATGGTATATATGGTTTTTTAAATAGGTACGTATTTTACATCTTTTATCATACTATTTTGGCCTTTCATATTATTATACACATTTTTTACATTTGGAGATTAACATTGCTTAGCGCAGATTTCAAAAATCCTATCGTAAAATATTACACAAGAAAAAAGCATTTTGTTTTAGCAAAGAAGTTATTTTTCAATCTAAAAAATTTTAAATTTTTATTCATGGCATAGTAAGTTATATTATTAAATAAAAAATGATAAAATTGTTATTTCCGGTTAATGAACTATCATAAATGAAAGGAGTAAACTGTACTTCGAGCCTTCAATTTTATAATTTAGTTTTACTAGATTTGGCCTTTAAAAACCTGATAGTACAATAGTAACATCTATGATATGTAATCACATATAATATATATCTGATCAGAATTTCACAAGCTGAATTTGATGATAAGCTTAAATTTTGAAGTTTCATTTTCTTATAGTAGTGCTCAAATGATTTCTATATATTTTGGGCTTATACATTTAGCCTATCTTTTTATCTGTTATTTTTTTTTATTCGTTTTATTTTTTATTTCCAATTAGCTATCCAAACTTACATATAAAATCTTTATTCTTCATTTTATCTATCAACACCGTCGTTAATTATTCTTACATATGGGATCTTAATTCGCCCGCGGAAAAATTATAGTCCCGCGTTATATTGTTAGCAAAAAAACCAATATCGATATGGTATGATCATGCGATTTACGGATAGATTAGCGTTAGTCGTACAGTACAACCAAAATTCAGGAAATCGGTCAAGGTCTAGATTGGAATGCATCGAAGTTAGGCCGGCATAAATCAATAATAATAACTAACTATATTATAGCAAATTAACATCTGGCAATTTTATTTAGCGCGTGGATTATTGGATTATTAGCAAAATTTATCAATTCCGATCCATTCCGTTGAATTTTGGTTGCTATTCCGATTACGACGTATCGAGCTACCCTGAGCACAGACATTTGGACGTGCTAACTACTAGTACTTAATAAATTTTTATACTGTTTTGTAATCAGATTATATGTGAATTTTGTAGAATTTAAAAATTTTAATTAATATGCTAGATAGCCTAATCATATTTTATTTTCTTTCAACTTTTTACCTTTTCTACAACTATGTAATACATGTTATAATTTTTATGCATAATCCAAATTGCTCTTTTGTCAGCTGTATGATAGAAGCTGGGCATAAAAAGGTAACAATATATGATATAACGATGTAAATACAATTATAGATTGTAATAAAATAGTAGAAACATAGCTGAGATGAATAATGAAATAATTGATAGTGCAAAAGCAAAGATATAATTTAAATCCACAAGAAAACGAAGTTTTAACTCTTTGAAATTAATTATTATGATTTTACTTAAAATATAATAATGTAAATAAGTTCTATTTCCGAAATTTTCAATATTAAGATGTACTCATAACGTCCCTGGTTTTAGCGCGACTGCGTCGCGCAGCTACCCTACCCTACAGAGTTGGCATTGGACATATGTCCAATGATTTTGAAAACGATTGGACATATAAAATTTTATATGTCCAATATATCTTTAAATTATTGGACATATGTCCAATGCCAACACTGCTACCCTAATATAAATAAATGACAGTAATATATGACATTAATCATATAGGTGATCGAAATTTTACGATAATTGCAGATTTGGCAATCACAAGAATATTCGGACCATAATTTTCAACAAATTCAATACATGACATTTAATTTATGACATTCATAGATAACCGTGGATGTCGTATAAACGACCAACTCTGTATTATATTTCATGATGGAGAATGGAATGTCACAATGATTACAAATTTAACGATCATGCATGTGGTCAAGAGCGTCAAAATTCACCGTCATAAATATATTTGTACATATTTCAAATGATCGAGAATGTAGTAATAAGACCGCAAATATATAGAATCTATGTCATTTGGTTTATGACATTCATAACCACGAATTGTACAGAACCTAAAATTTGAGCATACATTATTAATAGTAACCAAACAAAAACGGTTAGATGATCTTTGAATTATTATTATTATCGTTATTATTATTATAATTAGGAACCGTTGATGTTACACAACTAATTTTACACGCGGTGTGAAACACAAAAAAATTATTTTACAATACTTTGATCGGACTTGATCAGTCAGCTAGTACATATTATGATTATAATCCAGCACCATTTTTTATTATAAAAAAATGATGTTGGATTATGTGCAATTTGACTGATCAAGTCCGATCAAGTATTGTAAAATAATTTTTTTATGTGTTTCACACCGAGTGTAAAATCAGTTGTGTAACATCAACGGTTCCTCCTGTTATAATTATCATCATTATTATGAAGACCAGCTCAGCCACAAGCTTGAGATCGGCAAATAAGTGGGCTTAAAAAAATTAATTTTAATTAATCTGAGAAGTAATAACCCCGAAAGAAAAAAAGTTAAAATAAAAAATAACGACAATATGTTTACAAAAATCACTTATTTTTCCAATAAATTATGAAAATTTTATATACTCTTTTATAAGTACAGTTGTAATTTTTCCTATTGAGCAATAACAAGTGCAAGTGCAATAGATAGATAGATTAAATACAATGCTTTCAAATTTTGAGACAATAAAATTCTTTTTCTCTATAAATGTAATAAAACTTGAGATCGGCGTATAAGGGCGTAAAAATAAAAATCACATGATGTATATAAATTACCACCTAGTTTTATAGTTGGAAAAAATGATAACCATTACTTACACCAAAAAAAAAAAAATTGCGAAAATCAGCATAGCGAATATCAAACCATTTCATGCTGCACATTCAACGTTATCGTACTGTACAATTACATCAAAAAGTATATAAATACTTATCGCAGATAGTTTGAAGAGAAATTCATTTTCATTAAAACATTGTTACTGAACATTTTTACTGTCAACAACTTCTATGTCTTCTTCAAGACTAATTTCTGCTTCTTCCATGAAATTCAAATGTTTCTGTTCGCCTCCAGTGGAAATAAATATAATTACAACAACCATAGCACATGCAGACATAACCGCTACAACCAATCCATAATCAGGTACACCACCTTTAGGAAATGCTTCACCCAGTGATGCTTCAATCTGAGCGGATGAGGAAGCGATCAAGGCACCCAAATGATAAGTTAATCCTGGGAATGTTCCGCGATAACGTGGTGGTAATAATTCATTCAAATGTGCAGGTAAAATACCATAAGCACCCTAATTGACGAATTGATCTTAGATTTCAATTAAACATAAAATCAGAAATAAGTTATTTACCTGAACAAAGAAATAAACAGCAAAAGCACCAAAAGTCACAAGTGATTTATTAACAGGAATAGCTATTAAAGGTAAAAAAGCACCAGCTAATATCATCGATGTGACAAGTCGTTATCGTGATATCCTTAAGAACAATGAAATATACTAATTTTAGTGACATTCACTCAAAAGGTTATTCTAAAATAAAAACTCGCATAAGTATATTTAGCGTTTAATACCTGGAGAAAATAAGAGTTGTGTTTTAAGAAACGTGGGGAAAAGATCCTGAGTACCTATTGATGAAAAAAAAAACTTTAATGCAAATTTACTCATAAGTAAAATGTAATTATAAATAGTACCGTGGCTTGTAAAACCAAAACCAGCTACTAATAAGATACATCAACCCCCTCTATAATCACACGTTTTGTTTACTAATAACTTTTTTAAAAAATGTGCTTATAAAGAGGTTGTGCTTATATAGAGGTAGTTTTTTATATGTTTAATAGTAATTTGTTTTTGAGTATAGAATGTGATAAAGAGGGGTTTTTATATGATGTGATTATAGAGGGGGTGACTGTAGAGGGGGATGACTGTAGTATGAATAATTTTCAGCCAGTGACCTTTAATAATCTAAATAACATTTATTAGCGATACTATAATAAATATATAATAAATGACAAATAAATTTAAATAGTCAACCTTCGTAAGTTCATTAAATGTATTATGATCAAATGATCTATGAGATTCACGAGTTTTTTCCCATGCTTTGGATTCAGGAACGAAAAAAACGTATGAAGACAATGACAAGGGCGGGAAAAGAACCAATCCAAAACATTGCACGCCAACCAAGAGTCTTAATTACAGCATAGTAAAATATAGCAGCAATTAAGTAACCAGTTGGATAGCCTTGTTGTAAAATTCCAGAGAACAAACTAATAAAATGAAATTGACAAATAAAATATATACAAGTATATATAAGCAATTAAATAAAGGTATATAGACAATAATTTCTTACCCACGACATTCAGGTGGTAAAGCTTCCATCGCTAAAGCTGCACCTAAGCCCCACTCACCACCCATCGCAATTCCAAAAATAGCTCTTAATGCTACAAAAACTTGAAAATTAGGAGCAAATCCGGAAGCTAATTCCACCACGCTATACAAGATGATATCCGCCATTAATGGATATTTTCTGCCATATTTATCAGCCAATATACCAAAAATTAATGCACAAACAGGACGTAGTAATAATGTTACAATAATACTTAGACAAAATTGAAACGCAAATTATTAATAAATAAATCATGAAAATAATTATATTCACTTTGATAATTCGATATTTTAAAGTTTGATTTATTCAATATTAGTAATATTTTACTAATTATTAATATAATTGACTTTGAAAGTTACCTTGTAGCAATATCAGATGGTTTCATTTGAAATTCAGCAGCAATACTAACAACAATAATAATAAGTAAAATTTTCATGTAAGTGATTAAAATGAAAAGATAAATTTGACGCACTATGGTAAAGCAAACGAAACAGTGAAGAAATCGAAGGCATCTAAAGTCCATCCAAGAAATGTTGCGATGAAGGTCATTGCTTGATACCTCTCTAACGATGTTATAAGTTTCCATGGATTGACAGGTTTATTAGCATTTGACTTAACCTCTACATCATCAATGGCCATATTCTGGTTATCTGTCTCGTTTGCTTTAGTATTAGCCATGGAAGTATCAGTGACAATTGGAAAAATGAAATATGAAAAAAAAATTTAATAAATAATAACTAAATAAATGATAATTGTATTTTATATAACTGTTCTACATTCTTTTATAAATTATTCAAACACAACTTTGACATTGATTTAAGCATAATATTTAATTAATAATAATCCACACGGAAACATTATTTATTTACTAACCCATCGCTTCTTCTTATGATCTCGTTAATTTATTTTATTTTTTGTGTTTTTTTTTTACGGAGTTTAAATATATGATGATAATATCAAAAGTTCAGTAACGGTAATGGTACTATACATTAGTATACTAATATAGGTACAGTCCAGTCTTTAAATGACATGCACAAAGGCTTGTCATAACTGGAATTACATAATTAAGTTCAAAATAACACAAATGCACCAGAAATGGCAAAATTTTCCCTCTTCTCCTTTATAATTAAGCCTTCTTTAATTATTATAATGGATGTTAAGATAGAAAGCATTTTTGATTATCACGAAATTTTATAGACGCTTTCGAATAAATTGATTAAGTAACGTCTATTGTCACATTTAAAATGATTTTTTCGGGCATAGGAAATCATATGATTTTCAAGTCTTAACCTCACTCTCAGATTATCGGATTTCCCCGATAGAATTTTACATTACACTAGCCAAATTTTTATTAAAACCGTTAAAAAAAAATTGACTCAAAGACCAAAGAACCAAATCAATTCAAATTTTTATATATAATAATAATAATTTCCTTGGTAAAAATTTCCGTAAGGTGTGAATAATACAGTACTTCCGTAACAGTGCTTGCATTTGTACTATGTTCAATAAAAATTTTATTTTGACTTGGACAAATATGGACATGGACTAATCCAAATAGCGTCCGTGTCCATATCATCTTTTTTGAAATTTTCGGAATTTGACCATCTGTAATATATTGTGGTTTCACACATAAAAAAAGAACTCATTTTTACGTGTGTAAATCGAATTTGAAACATTTATAAAATTTTCTACTTAAAGTTCAATTTTGTGAATCTTTTATTATATAATTAACTTTTCACAGGTTGAATCAATGTACATACTGGGAGACAAGTTTCCTGATATGTCCGATAGTCTACCATAGATCCGCTAAATACCTGCTGTATTCAACAACATATTAGTTGCATATTGGTAAGATACCGAAAAGTAGATCGATATCGGTAACATAACAGCACAATATTGGGATACCCTGATACCTTACTATTAGTACTCTGGGTCTAAAAGTAAGATATTGGGATATCCCAATATTTTGCTGCTATGTTACTGATATCGATCTACCCGATATCTTACCAATATGCTGCTAATATGACATACAGCAGACTATCGGGTACATATTAGGGAACTTGAATCCCGGTATATACCCGATATTCATTGATTCATTTGTACGTAACAAGTCATGCACCTGCCCATGCGTTGGGAGCTTTTTAATTTTAGCGTTGCCACTATTATCCAATCGAATTTCGTATTTGTTATAATACGGTTATTAACTTTGCTGTATCATGTGTAGTAGGCTTAATGGTCTAAGTGGAGTATTCAAGTTTCGGTTTTATTATGCATTTATGTGAACAGAATAAACCGGCTAATAATTGGGAAGAAATATACATTTATTTTTTGGCTAGTAAATTTTAATGCTCTTGTCTCATCTTGGTCCATTTTGTTTCAAATTTGATTATTTATTTATTTTTTTTTTGTAATTATGGAATCGTGATGTACTATATTAGTAATAGATAGTATGTTTATTTATTTATTTATTTTTAAATAATAGTAGTAAGGGCAAATTTGGACGAATTAATTAATGTGAATGTGTAAAGTACGTTTATATAGCGTTGGTAGTTTATCTCAATGAATCGTGTATATTTAGTCAGATTAATCATTGTTTAAATTGGAATTTTCGTTGATGTCTATTGTAATCTGCTGCGAAAAATTCATTTAAAAAACTTACTTGTTATTGCAAAAACACAGTGTATGATAGTTTGCATTGGCGGTAATACACAGTATGTAGGTAAAGTTGTGTTAGCTTGTATTGACATTAATGTTGATCTCTATCGTAATTTACTGTAAAAAATTTTAAAAACTTACTTGCTATTGGAGATGACGCACAGTATGTTGTTAAAGTTATGTTAGTTCGTATTGGCATTACAGCATTATCGCTAATGTCTATTATAATTTACTGTAAAAAATTTATTTAAAAACTTACTTGCTGTTGCGATGACACGCCGTATGTAGTTAAAGTTATGTTAGTCTGTACTGGCATTGTCATTGATGCATGTTGTAATTTACTGTAAAAAATTCATTTAAAACTTACCAACTATAGTGATACTCAGTATGTAGTTAAAGCTATGTTAGTTTGCATTGGCATTGTCGCAAAGCGGGAAGCAGCTTTGCTGTAAAAATTCATTAATTGTAAAACCATAGAATAGAACAACGAAATGATGACTCCAAATAGACAATGACAAAAATGAAAATAAAAACTACAAAGATTAAATAAAATAAACATGTAACAAAAAACTGACTGAAAAAATAAATTTTATTCATGTCAATTCAAAAAATCCAATTATTGTACTTAATTAAATTACCTTAAATGTGTGTATATAAGATCTAAAATAATAGATCCACAATGAATTTACTTGTTTACAATCTTCGAATTTTTTTAATAGTATTTTTTTTTTAGTGTACATTAATGAGAATAAATTTTTTTTTTTTTTTGTTAGATTAAAAATTTTTAGGTATATATTTGATTTTTTTTGAGAGATATGTAGTATTTAAGCATAGTTTCATAGAAATTACTTTTTGTAAATAACCAATTTTTACATTGTGGGACAAAAGGAGAAAAGAACAATAAAATAGTAATAATTTAAAATTTTCTAGTAAAATATATATCTTGATTGCAGCTTTCAAAACTTCAATTATATAACAAATTGAGTCAAACAATAATTATTAATTCAAACCATTTTCTAATTTGGTAATTGGAAAATATGTAAATTGAAGTATTGTCTTTTTTTAATCATAATTTATTTTATTTAACTATTGTTTAACTAACAAAAAAAATTTTGAGCACTATTGTGCATGCGCATATACAGCACTTCAAATTTACTGCTCTTATACAAGCACAAAAAGAATTGATATAGACTACAATCAGTTAAAATTTGTAAAACCCAAAATTATCAAAAAAAGTTAGGTCAAAGAAAATAAAATACCAAAATTACTAGAATAGTAATTTAGAGTAACACCAAGTATTAATAATTATTTCTAAGTGCTAACTAAACTATAATAATAAATTTTTTACTAGATAAAGTTAGGTTTTATATATGGTAATTAAAAGGTTTATGTCACTTGCCTAACAACAACTTCCTTGACAACCATTTCCCTGACAATATTTTCCCGACAACTACTTCCCTAACATATCACCATTTCTGACAACCCCTTCCCTGACACAATCTCTTCTCTAACAACCACTTCACTGATATATCTTTTTCCTAACATATCTTTTTCCCTAACATATCTTTTTTTCAGAAATATCTTTTTTTCTGATATATCTTTTTCCCAAAATATCATTTTCTCTAACATATTCTTTTTCCCAACATACTTTTTTTTCTGACATACCCTTTCCTTCGACATACTCTTTTCCCCAACATACCCTTTTTTCTGACTTCTCCTTTTTCCTGACCCACCCTTTTCTTCGACTTACCCTTTTTCCTAACATCCTCTTTTTCTCAATATACACTTTTTTCCAATATTTCATTTTTCTTGGCGTATCTTTTTTCCTGATATACTCTTTTTCCAACATTTTCTTTTTCAACTTATCTTTTCCCTGACATATTATTTTCCTCAACATATCATCCCAATCCATCCCTATTCTTATTCCTCTTCCCTGCCTCATCCTTTACCTAACATGTTTTCTTCCCAGATATTCACTTTCTGAAATATTTTTTTTATTTTTTTAATTTTTTAGCTCTATTTATTTATTATTTTTTTTAATTTTTAGATTTATTTATTTATTTTTCAAATTTTATTTATTTTTTTTATTACTTTTTTTCAATATTTTTATTGTCTTTTTTCAATTTTTTCTAGTTTGATATTTATTATCTAATTCAGCTTTTAAAAAATCTGCTTGGTAATATATATTTTATGTACTAATCAGATTTTTATAGGCTAAATTGGTAAATAATAAATAGAAAACTTGAAAGCTGAAAGGTTTATTTTGGGGAATTTACAAATAAGGAAGTGCCCAAAAGTGAAAATAATTACAAATATGGGCCCAAATTAAAAATAATTATATATAAGGGCCTAATTATTAAAAAAATACTACATATAAGGGCCCAAATCTATTGATAACCTATATAATAATAGCAAAATTGCAATTATAAGATTATTGATTGCTTTATTATAGACATTTAGAGTTATATATATATGGGCTGCTACCATCAATAGAAATAAGCAAATCGATATTTTAAAAAAAGTAATACTTTGATTTTTATAGCTCATATCTTGATGAATTTTAAGCCTATCTTAATTATTTAATAGTTAAAAGAAAGCTTATGACCTAAGCTTTCTTTTGAATATTAAAACATCAAAATAGGCTTAAAATTCATCAAGATATAAGCTGTGAAAGTTAAAGTATTAATTTTTTTTTAAAATGTTGATTTGTCTTATTTCTATTGATGGTAGCCCATATACTGATTATAGATGAAAGGATAAAAGAAGTGCTAGTTACAATTATTTTCATTTAAATATTGTATAAAAATAGCATTAAACTAGCAAATTATTCTTAATACGAAGTTTTAACAAAGCAGCTCTCTAAAGCTAAACAATATAAAAGTGTAAATTACCCAGTAGCAACTAACTAACTCAACTGTAATCAATCAAACACTACAATCTAATAAAACCTACAAAGTGATAATCAAGGTGTAGTGAGACTTTGTCTGAGTCTTTAGAGCTTGTATCTTGTGGGACAATACCAATACTCAGATAAGTCACCTTTTTATTTCCTTGAATCAATTATTGATATGGTATAGTATTTTTCAATTCTAGCACTAAGAGTTTTTCTTTTGCATATTTGGCTATTTTGGAATTATGTATTATGAAAGTTCAATTGATTGATATAATTGTTTAATTGTAATTACAGAATTATGATGATATTCAATCAAAATTTAATTTATTTCTTATAAAAAGTGTCTGATTACTAATCATAACTTTTTCTTTTATATCAAAACAATTGATACTGTTGGGATACAAAAAATTATAATTTTTATTAAGAATAATTTATTAAACCAAGGGAACAAGATCTTAAAAACTAACTTCTCTAAGCAACTTCGAAGTTCAGAACTTAACTTGTTACCTTCCTTTTAAACCACTTATTACAACTTGGTTATATTCACTATTCTAACAAGTTTTTCTATATCTTTTTATTGATCACTATTTACAAAATATATATGACAAATGTTTACATACATGTACAAAATAGACACATCTATTAACAATGAAGAATCTGTTTTTCAGGACATCCTAATCCAGCACACCTACTTGGTAGAGCTCTAGATATAGTAGCAAAATTGACTTCATCTGGAGCTATCACACAATCCTCATATATTTAACCCTTTTGAAACTGATGATAGTATTGCCAACCCTCTTAGTAACCACAAAATTCTTATCTCTTGCTAGTCATTTCTTTATGTAATACAAGGCCAATGTAAACACAAAACTCATACTTGTCATAGAGTTTTTAACTACAAAGCTATGGACTCTGCAAAATAGAAAGACTTCTCTAATCAAGTTTATAACAATCTCTTGTCAAATTCTACCCCTCTCTCTCTAAATACTGACAAATCTATTGAAGCAACCTAGCACAAAATTTAAACAGTATTATCTCTGCAGCCTTAAAACATATTCCTAACAAAAGATTTACAGTTTGCAACTTTCAACATATTTTCTCTTGCAAAGCTTTCTTACTACACTCTAGTCTTAAAAAAACTTGGCAATATTATCAAATATATTAAACACATACTGAAATTTAACTTACCTATTTCTTCACTTTTTAACTTTACTATTTCTCTACTTAAAAACTTTCTTAACCTCCAAATATCCCTCATTCCCCATGAATACAACCTTCTATCCCCTTGGTTATCTGAGGCTAATGAAGAGTGGAAGAATATCTATCACGCTAGATACTTTAAAAACATCAAAGAAATTAGACAACATTAATAAATCTATTAACAAATGTTGTACTAAACTTCAAACCCACCCCACCTCAATGATATCTGTTATGAGGCTATATTCTGATTGCCAGTCAAACTAAAAAATATCTTGATTAATATTATAATGGGCAGTCTAATCATCAAAGTATTGTTGAATATGTGACTTAATAATTGTGGGGTCAGTGATAATATCATTATTAAGTTTGATATTGTTGAATTTGACTGAGTCCTTGTGCTGGTTAAGAATGCTATTTATCAATTTCAACTTATTTTGAAATATTTGAGTAAAGAACAAATAAACTTTGTTAAGGCTTCTATACCCATATTAGGTATGTTGAATCTTTGCTGATATTTCATTACGCATAAGATTATCCAATCATTCGAATTATCTTTAAAATTGAACTGTGGATCAAAAACTTCAGGATCGATTTCTGGTGGAATAAAATTAATAGATTTATGTTCTTGTGAATCTATTGAAGAT